GGGAGAAGGAGGGAGGGAGGGAGAGGGAGGGAGAGGGAGGGAAGGAGGGGGGCCACGCATCACAAACACATCTTGGCATGCAAAATACCGAATTTAAGTATGGTGTAATTGGAAATTGTTAGAGGAGCTTAGACAAAATACATTGTGTCACTGATAGTATTGCCTTTGCAGAATAGTTGCAGAGTTGGGACTAACTTGAGTAAGAATGAAACAAATGCAGAGAGGAAGGAGGAAGGCAGAGAGATCAAGAGTTTCTTCGCTGAGGAGTTTGGGGGGTCTAAAAAATATTTTATATTATCGCACAGGGCTAATGGGGTGTAGAGGGCGGTAGACAAAAAGAGGAGACAAAAATAGGTTATAAATAGGGGAGTATTTAGATAATTCTGACCCTCTCCATATCAGATCTCTTCGTGGAATCCATTACTTATGAGGATTCAGGAGGAGCTGTGGATGTGAAATTGGAGGGCGAAGGTCTACGCCTCTCCTCACCAATAATTCCACATCGATTGACACTCCCTGAAGATGAAGAAGAGATGGACGCAGCTGCTGTAGGAATGACAGTGTGTGTCGTTGTCGCCGGCATTGACAAGTGCTCTGGAAGTACTGAAGCTGCATTACTCCAGATATTGCTGCTGCGTGTAGTCAAATCTTCTTGTGGCTCATTGTTTGGGAAGAAAGATGGTACTGGCCATGTGGAAGAAGACGATTGATGTCTGACATGTGGAAAATGCGATGTGAAACCAGGAGGATGATCGTGGCAAGAATTGCGTACCTCATCACCTCCTAGGCCAAGATTTTCAAGTGCCTGGATGACATTAAGTTCCACTTCGGAGTGCTTGTCAAGTGCGGAAGCTTCGTTAGTGCTGTTCCTGATGTGAAGATTCGGTTTATAAGGTTCTGCTGAAGTCATCGTGTGTCTACGAAGAAGAGTGGGACTCGTACTATCTCCCACATTTGGTGCACCAGCTGAAAACGAATGTCGTGGACCGGGATTCGACCAAAACAGGGGGTTTGGGCACATTCCAGCATGCTGGTTGTCAGGAAACTCCGACTCTGAATGGAAATCGACATCTAGAAAAGGGAGAAAGATGAAGAGATTCATTTGAATGGCGTACTTTATCACAAACGCTCACATAAGCACGCATAGACATACACAACAGTCACGAGAGAAAAAGATCAATGGCTGCACACAAAGCACTAAGTGAAACATTCTGAAGCTCCATACACACACTGCTTTCTCGATAAAATATACCAATAAACGGCTCTGCACAAACGCCAATACACCACAAGACTAAAATCCTAGCAAACTCAACTTTCTCCTCTTGGTAGCAAATTTTTCTCGCCAAAGATAAGCATCAGGGTGGCTCTGCTATGCTAGGATCATGCAATTTTGGCCGCAAGCGGTTTTGAAATCAATTACGAGTTGAGTGAGATCATTAAGTCGGGGATAGGAGTTTCGCCTACGATCAAACGAATTTAACCCGTAGACTATGAAAACTAACTTCCAACTACATACGGTCTCAAAATCTCAAAGAACCCCGTTTGAGACAAAAATCTTAGTCATAAAACAGAAATCCCCGAATCATTTTAAAGCTACATAAGTTGAGTCAAAGTATTGTCTTAAATGCAATCTTTTATTTGAATATAAAACTAAGATTTTACTTTAATTTATTATGTGTTAATTAGTGCAAGAGTACGACCACCATCGGGAATTGATACTTTTCGGGGTTAAAGGCCAAATAATAGGATGAATAAGAGTGCATACCCTAAGTCCTTAACAATTGTACTAAACAGTACACAGACTTATCCCACAGCTTTGATGGAGTAGTATTCTATCACTGAGCATAGTTGTATTCTCGATTATAAACAGATATCACAATTTCAAAAACAAAAATCCAATATGCATGTGGAAGTGAAATAAAATTGGTTTAGCTTGTGTACAAGTGGGCCAATGCATTTTTGGAATTTCCAAGGCCATACGGGAAAGTGTTTACAAAAAAAACTGATGAGAAGGTAACATGAAGTCATATAGATAGCACACACAAACACACACACACGCACATAAATTGCCCCATCATTTCTTGTTACCGGATAAAACAATGCGGTTGGCGAGGAGTAAGCTAATGGGCGCCAATTTCTCTACCTCTAACTTTTTAGACATGAGTGAGAATGCACCATTGCTTTACCAGTTTCTAAAAATTTGCTAGCTACAGTTGGCCTAACAGATTTACCCAAACTAACCAAGTACTACCCCCACCACCACTGTGAGTTCACAAATTCCACATAAATTTTGAATAAGGTCATTGAATTGACGCGGAATTAACGGGTTCGTATACCGAATTAAAACGAAACTTGTTCAAATTACCAGACGATTACATTTTAGCCAAATTGCGAAGTAAAACGTGAAGGTCACATATCCGAACTCCAATTATACTAGAACAATTAACATTGTAAAATCAGACCACTGTGAGATTGCTATTTCATTATTTGTCACGAGTCATAAGAGACAAGTTCTTTTAACTAAAGTTAATAGCGATGCCAAACCCACTTAACAGAAATTTAAATTAAACCGGGAGATGCAAAAAAACCGGAATAATGACGGAAAAATTCAAGAAAGATTGCTGAAGAGCATTCCACATTCTGATGAAGGTTCTCTGTTAAGATTAAAGACCATCTATTAAAAGTAGAGACAATTAAACAGTAAAACGATTGCCTCGTAGGGGATAAAAAATTGAATTCCACTTAAACAAGAATCTATTTCGGTAAAAAATGGAAGAGGCATACCCATGGAGTTACCGATGGCATTCTGGCAATGAGATTGAAAAACATTTATAACCACAAAATGCCTAGACAACTGCGAGGAAGTAGTCATAGCCTGACTCCTCTAATGACACCAGGATACGTAATTTACAAGTAACAAGACGAGAAAAAGGAAAACGAACCAAACCCCATACTATGAAACGTTGACTCCACATTTGAATCAAGCCAATAACTTAGTTTAAATGAATCTGATCTTTCCATCTGATCAATGACTGGACATTTTACAGTCGAAACTAAAGCCAATAAGTGATGACATTAGGATTCGACTCCATCGAGTAATTTTCTAGATTCTGTTAGTTAAAATTCTATAGAAGAGCAGGGGTTTAAGGCTAGTTTGATGGACGAAAAGTAGACTTGAATTCGATAGAAAACACGTACAAAATCGATTTAATTGAATTAACTACGCACACCTACAAGCATTCATATGAGAGAAAGTAGATCTTGGTGCCCATGAAAAGGAAATAACGTACTTGTTAGACGTCTCTCAAAGAGATTCATTGAACCTGGGGCGGTCGCAGCATTAGCAGAAAAAACATTGTTGTGGGATGGAATTCTTGATTGATGGAAGGGGCTGTTCTGGCAAGAACCGGTTGATTTGTCTGTAGTAGGGAAGAATTCGATAGCAAAGCTGCTGTTGCCTCCAGAAACTAATCCACAGGGAGAAGCCGGTAGAGAAGCGGTTGTTGATGCAGCAGCAGCTTGAAGCTCTTTCACTCGGCGTGTCTTGCTCTTGGACTCAGCGAGAATGCGATCGAGAACATCCTGAGCCTCTTTCGCATCCATTTGTTGAACATCTGGCCACATCCAAGCGACGCCGTTGGAAACATTGGTTGTTGCGGTTTTCCCATTGCTATTCCTATCGGATTCTTCACCGTTCGAGTTATTTCTAGACTTTCCTGAACTCCCATTTCCGGTGTTATTATCCTCAAGTTCTTCAGAGTAACGTCTCTCAAATTGACGCATTACCAAATGACCGATTAATTGCTTCGCTTGTTGAACTCTAGCTTCAGCATCTTGAGCAGTCATTCCTTGCGATTGATAAGCAGAAATCTCGAATTCAGAAGTTGCGGAAGGGCCACGAGCAGCCTCCTTAGGTGGGCTCTTGATCTCCGTTCCAGTATCTTTTTGAATTGTCGTAATAATCGAGCCTTGGGTGCCAATAATTTTTCCCACCATATCCTGAGGGACAGAAATTTTTGAACGAGAAAGAAGGGTTCTAGTAGTTCCACCATTACTATTCGATACCCCATTGGGAAGCCCATTTCCATTAGAAGAGAAAAAACCATTTTCATTTGAATAATTCCCCCCATTCGTAAGAGAAGACTTCAAAAGGGGTGAAGGAGAGGGGATAGTGACATTCGGGAGGTCGTCAGGGCTACGAGAAACAAGGCGCTGGCCTCCATTTGCTGCGGTTGCTGAGACGACGCCACTTCCACCAAAGAGAGATGCGCAGCCGGGAATTGAGTTAGTCGAACCTCGACGGCGTTCACTGGCATTTGATTTACTTTGGGAGATTTCTTGCGCCCTGTTAGTGATCAAATCCGCAACTTTCAATGCAATTTCTGGAGGAGCCTCGATAATAAAAACGTGGTCCTCATTCTCTCCAGGTGTTGTAATTAACGCTCCAGTCTCCTCGCGTATTAACTTAATTTTCTGACCTGAAAAGTAAAATGACGTAATATAGTCCCGTGATCGACATACGCACATTTTATTTAACACCCACTGCCGGTAAAAATAAACCAGTGGGTTAAACGAGTGTAGCACGCCACAGCTTACCAGCGAGGCTAATGATTGATTTATACACATTGGAAGTGCACAAAGCACTAAGGGGTCAAACAAAGCATGCAGTCTACACAAGAATGTTAAATTATACGCACACACACACACACAAACAAGCACATGGTCACAGCATGCTTACCCCCTTTCCCAACAATCTCCGACACGTGGTCCTTTGTAGGGACTCGAACACCAAGTTGTAGATAAGAGGCTTTGGTTTTGGCCTCAGTTTCACCGTATCTATTTCGAAAATGGGCTGAAATGCGACCGTAAGTGTGACTCGTAGACCGACGAGAATTTTCTTTGATATGTTCCAATTCTTGACCGACAATGAAACCCTTGCTACGAGCGTAATTAATATATTGAAGTCGATCAATAGGGTACAAACCACCACCAGCAACGGATAGGTTTGTCACCCAGCCGTTGGAGGTCGTAGTAGGGAAAAGTTCTCTTTGAGGAGGTCTTCTTTGCATATATAGTGAATCGTTTCCATTTGGTTGCATACAGAGATTACCATTCGTATAATGTTGCAGCTTGTCATAAAAGGGAGAATTCTGCAGACTATGAAATTCTTCCATGACTTTGTTACCAGGATTGGGTGTTGTAAAAGCACTACTGATCATTCCGTTGGATGCCTTGTTAGAAAGAAAATGAGGAGTTCCATTGTAGGAGACATGAACGGGAGAATTTCGACTAACACAATCCGACACGGCATCAAAATCTTTCTCTGAAGGATAGGCCTTTTGTGAACCTGATGGATATCCATGATTACTATTATTATTATTTATTCCAGGAAAGTTTGATCCATTGAGAAGAAAATCATTATTGTGAGTGAAATTAAGAATTCTTTCGGAAAGAAAATCTTCATCATAGTTTGTTGTTGTTGTTGCACTTGGCATAGCGTGGAGTCTTATTGGATAATATATCTGCCGTCAAAAACATAAAAAATCTGGTAGATGGAATCAACGCACAGGGTGAAAAAGACGACGTCCAAATCGACCAACGCGTGGAATGAACCCAGCTTGTTAGCAGTTATCATTTATATTACAAACCAATCAGCAAACTTTAACCAATCATTCCAGCCTTAATGAAGTAAGGTGCGTTTCATTGGTTAGATGACTGTATAACCAATGGAAGAGCAATGGTTTCAAGTCATCACGCGGCGCATAGTGCGTACGTATTGCTCTAGTCTGTTTAAGCGTCGCGCGTAGAAGGCATGCTAATGTGTGTCGTAGTAGTTAGAACGGGGGTGGTTGGGGGTAGAGTCAGCGAGAGAGAGAGAGGGAGATGCGAGAGACGTTACCCCTCGGTCGATAGCTTAATGCTGCACACTCTTCGCGTGTTTGTCCGACGTTAGCATCCTACTGCCCCGGTTCCTATGACACGTGCCGGCCAGCATACAATGACTCATCTTACCTCTTCAATTAGGTGCAATACCCACCGGACTCATACGTATTTTAAGCCAACGCAAAGCGAGGCACTTAAATTACCTAGACGAAATTACCTACGAAGCCAATTGATATAGACAAAAAAATTCACATAGAGAAAGCTGTCGCAAAGATGAAAAATGTAATGCACCTTTGTGGTAAGGTTAAAAATGAACAGCAAAAAAATAACATTGGAAGATCAATAACCGCAATAAACTATCAATTTCAATAAAGCGTTATGAGGGCGAAATCTGTAAAATCGCAACCTTGAAAAGTGAAGTTTTTTTTAATAATCGGAACATTTGGTAAAAATACAGAGATTGTAGAGCAGGAATACGAACTTTTAGGCAAAGAATCACAAAACTGGACTGGTACGGATTTAGTCATTCTTGTCCACTACCATTGAAACCTTTTAAGCTTGAATTAAAATGGAGCCGTTTGCTCAACATAAACTGTAGACGACCATTTTAACTGAACAATCTAAAAATGCCTTGAAGTTAACGATATTTACTTATTTAACAAAAACAACAAAAACTCTGAATAAAAAGAAAACAGAAAATTAGCAAAATATACTATGAGTGTTCATTGGCTCTTTTATCTGTAGACCTTTCACAAATATCGACCACATTCAGTTAACAAAATCTTTGATGCTTTTCTTAAGCACCGGATTGCAAGAGAAATTGATTTCTGATATGACACGCTGAGTTAAGGCAACCATTACCCAAAAGAGGAATAAATGTGAGATTTCGTGGAGTTCGCCCGTAAACTCAATAACCTACTAGTCAATCAGAAACGCTGGCTAAACGTACGATCGATAAATATCAAAACCATTAGCTTACACAATTTCAGTTCAATATCTAATACATTTCAGGTTTTGGTAAAAGGAGAAGGAAAAAAGCATTTGCAAATGTTAGTTAATAACCCAGAATCAAAAAGCATTCTGATTCATTTCGGCCATGTAAAAAGGCTGGACCTCCGATAATCATGAACTTATTGAATCCGATGTCAAAACAAACCAATTTCTATTTAAATGACCTCAACTACTAGTGTTCTGCCAAAGTCTTTTTCAAATGACAAGCATTTTGATAGTTATCATTAGCCCTTTAGCTGACTTCGAGCTTCACAGAAGGAACATTAAAGTGAGAAAAATTCGACAGTGGAAAAGAAGAGCGATTCACAGATATAAAAGGGACAGACAGACACAAAGCCAGAGAAAAGGCTAGATGAGTACTGTGAAAGGGGTCGAATATGACACACAGTGGGGTCATGGCAGTTTGAAGTCAGAAGTCAATTGTCGGTTTATAGACTTTTTTGCCGTATGAGTATACGTTGCCCAGAGTGCACCACGTGGAGGTAAGTCTATCGCACACCCCTTGCTCTGCCAAAGTCTATTTCAGTAAATGGGCTGGTTGTAATGATCTGAATTTTCATCATTAAGTAAGAAACAATATCAAATAATAGGGCTAGTCAAATATTTGACTTTGATTAACTTCGGTATGAGAGACAAATAGTACACAAATTTGCGATGCTTAGACTACTCAAGTTGTACTACAACATCAAACCTTAAGTTTGAAAGATAGAGGTATCCATTTAACAAACTCTGGAAGGGTGTGAGATCCATTGGCTGAGAACGCTTAAATGATGAATCAGAGAAAACAGCTAATATCTCAGAGAATCCCCAAAAAGGGCCGTATACGGAAAACAATAGACCGGAGGTACGACTCGTTGCCATGACTCAGCGAAGAAGGGCGGTACCCAATGATTCACACATTAAGGTACAGCCAAACAAATACTAGATTGAAGCGAGAATTAAAAAAAGATAGACTGGCCTGAATAAGTGTGAATATTACTTAATTCAGTATAAAACTATTTCATCTGATTCCACTTTCGGAGATTTTCATTTGCGCATAGAGTAAATTCAAGAGTTCGGATCGATTAAACTTCTGTTCATTAATTTTTGTTATCGATTTTTCAGCGCAGTGCATAAGTTACCTAAACGCTACGTTAGCACCACTCGCCACTCCTCTCATATCTATTTTTCCTTGCGCGATTAAAAAAATCGATAATACACCTGCTCTTGTGAGTGCATTTATTTTTTCGTAAACAAGAGATTACAATGAATCCTTCAAATGTCCTTAGCGTGTTGCAAAAGCAATAGAAGAAAAGTTCCAAGTTGATGAATAAAAGGTTGCTAGAGAAAGACAACACACATGGGGGTGGGGGTGGGGGTGTGGGGAGGGTAAGTAAATAGTTCTTTGTGTACACATGAAAACAATGCATTCTACCCACGTGCGAGGCAGAGAACAAAGAGTAGCATCATAGTATCGATATCGCTGTTTGGAAAAATTTAGTTACCAGATCAGCAGTTTATTCTTTCCGCTGTAAAGTTACTCGCTGAAGGTCTTTCATCGTGAAATATTGTTAAATAACATCTGATTGCTTTAATCGCTGTAAAAATCTTACAATCATCATGCCAAATTCCTGCACATCTTAGTCAACATCAAGTGAACTCTACTTCCGAGTTTAAACAACCCCAAATTCACAATATAAATTTAAAGTTAATTAGGGCTTGACATTTATAGATATTATTTCTCGAAATAATTCCAGCACCGAAAGTGAGTGGAACAGAGCTTTAAAAGTGTAGTTTGTAGAATTAACTAGGAACCACCGACCTAAGTAAGTTCAATCTAAGTACCTTTTTTGTGATTTCGCAAACCTCTAATTATAATTTGAAATACAAGTAAAACAATCCAAAGATGAGATGCTGAAGTTGGTGAGACTCAAAGTCAACACTAAAGACTGTCAATGAACAGGCGAGTGCGTTTTAAGAGAGTCAACCTTGTAAACCTTCGTGACCTTGTCATGGCAAAGCAAATGAGGGTTTTATCCCAATGTTGAGTGCGTATGTCTACCTAGTTAGAGGACAAAAGGCCATTGGCTATTCACTGACCTAGAGGGCCAAACACAATGCCTAATGGAAGAGCAGTAGAATACGAGTGATTCCACAATACCTGCCCTCTATGCTAGTCGTGTTTCTTCCAATGTTTTTTTTCGATTTAGAGTTGTTAATAATAGTAAATATTCAGTCGACCGAACATTGACTGATTTGACACCTTGTCTCTTAACGCAGATAGGCTATAGTGCAGTAAATTTCATGACCACTTGGGAAGGGGAGAAAATCAATATTTTTAGCGTTGCGATTATTGGGAGTTTGAAAGTAGCTAGATGAGGTAAAACGCAATTATGACATAGGCAAATCACGACACCTTGCAAAATTTGGCATTCAACCCCACAACCACTCCAGAAAATGCAGAATTCAGCCTCTTATTAGTAACATTAATGACAAGGTGAATTCTGTAAACCTGTTCGCACAAGCCAATCATTACTTCAGTCCAGAAATTGAGTTGTAAACAAAATTCAGCGGTTGGAAATTGGGGGGGGGGAAGGGGGGAGGGGGGGAGAGAATAAAACAACACTGCTGGGTGGTGGTGGTGGTGGTAACTTGCGTTCCTCTTATTCACCTTTCAGAAAAATGGCCAATGGGCACAACCTGGAGAATATGAGTGAATCATTGCGATTCCCCTCCTGTCCAATTTGTCCAAAAAGTAGGGCATGTAGAAAGCAACCAGAGTGGTTTGAGAGTCCATTCAGGACACTTGGGGGATACATCACGTTAGCCCATGATACGGGACTACCCTTTTGTAATAGTAAAAAATGAACACGAGTCATCATGATGGCCTGATTCAGTAGACCGTTCTCAGAATACTAAATAGATTAACGACGTTGTCTCAAAGCTGGATTAACCCGGAATTATTCCAACTTTGATGGGAATGTTAAACATTCCTTAGTAAAACATTTATCCTGCTGCAACAACAATCACTCAATTGCCTTGTCGAAAAAAGTTTCAGGGTAGAAAAGATCACTTCCAATCGGTTTTCATTGGAACTGAAATTTAGTTGATTATGACCTTGTTAGGGCAATGATATCATAAATTGAACATTCTTTCTGATATTAGTACCAAATTATGCTTTAAAGTGACAAATGTCACTTTACGGCGGTTTAGTTGGAGCGAACGAAAACAAACAAGGTATTAAAAAAGAAAAATTGTAAAGGTATATTTGACTGGAAATTGTGACTTTTCTGAACCGAAATCAATAACAGAGAAAGAATCCATTTTAACACTACTTTCGAGTACATTAGTTGGTTCATATTATTAGCATGTCATAATGAACACCAAAACACTGTCTGTTAACAATGTTCCAACGTGGAGGGGTGTGCAATAGACTTAACTCCACGTGGTGCACCCTGCGCAACGTATACTCATACGGCAAAAAGGTCTATTAACCGGCAGTTGACTTCTCACTTCAGACTACCATCACCCCACTGTATGTCATATTCGACGACTTCCACAGTACTCACCTCACCTTTTTTCCACCTTTGTGTCTGTCTCTTCTACATCTTTGAAACACTCT